AAAAACTGATAAAAAAAATTTCAATTTTTTTAACCTCGACTTAAATCAATGCCAATTTAGAACCAGGCGGTGGAGGGCAAATCGACTCGAGGGGTTCGGAGGGTAATGTCTTTCCCTTTAAAATTATCCCCCGCGGGGTTCTATCCGATGTTTTTTGTAAAAAAATAACCTTTTTTTTCAATCCTCAATTACTTCGACTTGCGTACGTTTTGGAAAAAAATGCCAAGGAGAAAAAAGTTTTATTTTGTGCCCAAGAATACGAAAATAAAGTCAAAATAAAGAAATAGAGAAAAAAATTTTTTTCGGTTTTTTAGCGCATTAAAAAAATAAAGGAATTTAACTTTTTTTTTACACTTCGTTTTAAAATGTCTAGGGACGTTGTAAATCACAAAAAAACTAAAACTAAGCGTAAAAAAAAATTAAATTCCTTTATTTTTTTAATGCGCTAAAAAACAGAAAAAAAATTTTTTCTCTATTTCTTTATTCTGACTTTATTTTCGTATTCTTGGGCACAAAATGAAACTTTTTTCTCCTTGGCATTTTTTTCCAAAACATACGCAAGTCGATGTAATTGAGGATTGAAAAAAAAGTTTATTTTTTTACAAACAACGACGTAACTCGGTTAAAAAACATCGGATAGAACCCCGCGGGGGCTAATTTTAAAGGGAAAGATATTACCCTCCCAACCCTTCCGGTCAATTTGCCCTCCACCGCCTGGTTCTAAATTGGCATTGATTTAAGTCGAGGTTAAAAAAATTGAAATTTTTTTTATCAGTTTTTTTACTGTAAAAAACACATATTTTCATTTTTAAGTCTCTGCACGTCTTAAATGGAAGCTTTTGCAATTACCTTTAAAATGCTCTGCGGATTTTTGTGATACGATGATTTCCGACCGAGATACAAAACTTTCAAGTTTGTACATATAGAGAATGAGAGAGAGCGAAATACAGAAAACACGCGCTTCTCACAAGTGCGTGCCACTAAGCCACGCTGATCAGAACGAGAGAGAGTATGCGCTCCCCACCTCCACACGCTTCTATGCCACCCGGAGCTATAACTATAGAGAGCGCGCGCACCCCACCACCCCCACGCGCATGGGCTCTATGCCGAATATGTCGCTAGTATACATACTGAGAACTATACAATGTACACGTCGTAGTGGCTCCAATGGTCGAACACTGGCTTGTGGACCCTAAGAACGCTGGTTCGATTCCCCGACGTGTCAGTTCATTTTTTTGAAATGGAAAAAAATTGTAGCTCAGTAAAACACGTGATAAAGCGTTCTTTCTATATTCATTATTTCATTGAGCAATTAACATAATAATTAAAATGAAATCAATCTATTTATAAATTAATTCTATTGATCAAAAACTACCAGAACAAGAGCACTAGGGTTTCTAGTTCATAGGGATAAATCTGTCTTGAAACATACATATATGATTAAGTAGAGGGCCCTACTTCTTAGGGTCCCTAAAATCCTAGGGACAAGTCTGTCCTGAAATAAATATTGCTGATATACTGCGAACAACATGTACCTTTATAACGTTCACAACATTTTGATACATAAATTAGGACATGAAAAGATTGAGCGATATAATAATGTAATATTTTGAAGAAAAGCAACGCAAAGAAAATTTGATGAAAACGAAATAAAAGCTTGACAGAGATTTTTGTCATTGCGACAAATAATTATTGTAAATATTTCATTGATCTACAATATAATCCGGATAAAATGAATATCGTTCACTTTAACGATGTACACCAAACAAAAAAGAGATTAAATTATTGTATTTATTGGAATTACTCTAGAATAAGTACTATTTTATATTATTTTACCATCTAATCTCGATTTTATGCTTTAGTAAGAGAATTGGATATAGTAAAGTACCATACAGAATTATTTATTGTGAATTCAAGTTAATTTATCAAACTGTATTGTTTCTATTCACAATACATATTATGTATGTGTATACATATTATCGGTAGAACATATTTAAGAAAAACTGTTACGCATCGAGAATTTCTTATGTATCTATCCGAATCGTTAAGCAAAAAACTAACGAGGTGCAATTTTCATACATGACATGAGGTACGAGTATCTATTATACATAGTAAAAAGAAGGTCTGAAAATTACGCTAGCTATATCAAATTATACCAGAAATTTACGTTGATAATCAATATAAATTTGACGTCATCGAGTAAAATAACATTGACTCTTAAATGTAAATTCCGCACAAATAATGTAATTGTGATAATGCACTGAAAAATATCAAATGAACATGATTATTGTTAGAAATAACGATACCTATGATAGCCGTTAAGACATTACATGTTCATGTAGAATTAGAATTTAAATTTGAAAATTCGAATTTATGTTTATTTGCCATGACTCACCGTGTAAAAGAGTTATTTTGAATCAGACGTCGTGGACTTCAATCAATCCTTATTTCAACTGTTAACGGTCAACGGTCATCGTGGTATCAATTAATTGAGGAACCGAAGTTAAAGGAAATGTTAATACGAATGTAATAAGTATTTGAGCTTGGCATATTAACAAATAAGATACGTATGAAATTTGATAATACTTAAAAAATAAGCATTCGTAATCAAAACCAAATGAGACATGGGATTTTTTCAATTTTAATTTCTATGTTATGTATGAATTGATTTCGCTTTTTTATTGATCAAAATTTTTTTTGACTTAATAACAATTTTTGATTATTGAACCATATTGCAGCATATAACAAGATATCGCAGTAACGTAGAGGAGAGATTTTATTTTTGTAAATACAAAGATTGTAACTTATCTTTCCATAACATTAAATTGCTCGAAAAGGATAATTGAACACATATTAAATAAACTTCTTTTTGATCATGGATATTTATCTCAGTCAGTCAGTCTACTTGGAGTTGCCTATCATTCGTCTATATTGCGTTCAAGGTCATTAGTCCTACCGATCGCTCCTACTAGTCTATCGGTATTCTCTCTATCTCTCCCCTTCATCAGTTGTCTTATTCACACGCACACTATCTCTGATTACCCGCTCGCCTACTCATGCCTCTATACTCGGTCGTCTCACTCGCGCCTATGCACCAGCTTACTCGCCGTGCTCTCTTGCTTACGTTCGACGTCGATAACGTCACAACATGGTCGCTACTCGGTTTCACAAATTTTTGCGCAAGATTTTTCCTATGATGATGCATCGTTACACACCATATATATATACAGTTCAAGCAGTCAGCATTACGTCGGAAGTTGACGGGCTTAAACTAAATGACGATGTATTTTTAAAATTACAACGTACCAACAATTTTATGTTATTAAAATACGGTTAAAATTGGTCACCGAAAGTTATTATTTCTTTTATATTATTATTTCTTTTATATTCCAGATTTCAAAATAATTACTTAAAAATAGAGCTATATTATTACCAATTTTGGTAACTTGCTCTGAAATTTCTTCTGAAGATTAAAAATAAAATTGTTTAGGCCTCGTCCTGTATATTCTAATTTTCCTCTCGTCATCGTTTTTTTTGTGTGGCTGGCTTCTTTTTCGCTCAAATCGATAAATGCATGGAAAAGAGTTGTGACGTCATGGTTTTACAAATATTAAAATTAAATGTTTGACCTCGTCTTCTATCTCGCCTGTATACAACAGCGACAGATCAAGTCTTGATTTTTGTTAACTCACAACACGATTGTTGACGATACTTGATTTATATTTTGGATTACAAGTAGCAATTGGAATCAAATCTTTTTTGACGTCACAAATTCACTCAGAATTGATCTCAGAACTTACCAGAGGGCGACTCCTTATGCACCATCTTGTCCTTTCTCCCAAAATGAGACATGGTGGGATAGAGAGCTCCGAGCGCTCTGAGCAAAAGTATAAAGATCAGTTCATCGTATCATTCAGACCATTAATTCGAGTGGTTCAACTAGCTTCAGATTTTTCTGAAGAGTTCTAGCCTTCTATTAAGGATAGAGGTTCACCTTCAACTACCAGTGCCTGCTACTAAACTGAAATAGTTTTCAGAGACATTTTCCAGTGACCTGTCCAGAGGATTTTCCAGTGGTCTTTCCAGAGTAATTTTCAGTGAAATAACAAAATGATTAGTGGCAGTATTCTCAATCCTATTTTTAAGTTAAAGTCTTCTTAACTCAACCATTCAAGATCTGTTTTTCTTTTATTTTCATCAAGACTAAATCTGATGATAACAAAGTTATATCAGACAGTCTTCATAGTGAACGAGAATTTAGATTTAAATATATCAAAGAAACTTTTATGCTATCATTAAAAAATTTTAAATGATACTATTATTGTATCTTGAAAAAAATGTTCTCAGAGCTATTAGTTCAAGCATAGATTATGCACCATGATTATATTTTATTAATTTACATATCAAAAGATGTTAATAATTATTTCTAATTAATATTCTATGTCTATGAATTTTTCCTATAATGAGTATAAAAAACCTACTATATACTTTACATTTTCATGAAAAATGTGAATCGTTATATTTGTAGTCGTTCCTTAATGTAATTAATCTGCTGTTGCTTAGTCTCACTTCCGCAGTAAAGCGCGTTTACGTTGAACATAAAAAAGAGACAGGCGTGACTGATTTTAGTAATTTTCACGATGATTACACTTCGATATAACGTGAACATGGTTTTATTATGTACAAAAATTATTGTGCACAGTATCATAGTGTCCGACTTGATACGCGCTATTTCACGCCATATTACCATGTACAATAATTTATGTGTATGATAAATTTTAATATAATTCAAGTTCAAGAATAGCAGAACATTTGTTCTGTCAAATATAATAACATTATTCTTAATTATAGTTTTCTTTATTATCAAGTTACTTACCAGATCAGCAATCAAGAAATTATTTCCTATGCTGAATTATATTTTTGTGTAATGTATATATTTATTATTATTATGTAATTAATATATATTACATTTATTTAACTAAATAAATAAATAAAACTACCTTGTTAATTTTTTTACTGCGCCTTGATCTATGTCTATGCTCTCCCATCATTCGTCGTATATTCATATGCATTTTATAATTTATCTGCGTATTTAAGTCACGATCATCAACTGTATGACGACTATAACTTAGTCTTCTATGCTAAAAGAAGTAAATGATATTTTTAAACAAAGTTATATTTATTTAGTTGATTATATAATTAATTTTTCTCTTGCATTTTTAACAAACGCAGTCGATATATAAAAATTCATCGATTCTTTATAAATTTTGTAGGTATCAGTAAACAAAAACAAGTTAGATCTCATTCACACTATCTACTGAGGTCTATGTTTCAACTTTCGAATGAAATTATTTATTTTTCCTTATTGCCGTGGAAAAATAGATTATTTTAGGCGATCCCTTTCTCCCTATCAAAATATTTTTCGGTAAAACTTTTAAAACAAAATCTGTTAACACTGATTCGAAAAAAGTAATAACTTGTTAGAAGAAGAGTATAATAATATTTTATATTTTAATTTTCATGAAAAGTTGCCCAGTGAAATGTATGTTATTTTTATTAACACGGTCACTGATGTAATTAAATTTAGCACACCAAAATACAATACAAATAAAAAATATTCAAAAAAAGTAATCCAGTACCACAGTAGGATTTTGAATGTCCAAAACATATACGAGTTAGATGTGCTTATTATAAAAAATGGATATATATATTCTGTAACGGGGATTTAGACGGCTACAATATATTAATTACCCGGTAGGTCAGATCGCCAACTGGCCCGCGGAGAGCGTCGTGGTTCACGCAGCTTAAATCAGGAAAGTTGAGGGAAGCGATGAGAAGGAAAGGTAGTACGAAAGAAAAGCCATGCAGTTTTAATAGTATACGAATATATAAAGTTTATGTATGAGTCAGTGTACAGGGCGGTTCAGAGAGAGCGGTGAGATAGGCAAAGCAAGAGAGAGATCTAAGGAACGGTCGGTACTTACATTAATCGAAGGCCCTCAATTACGATTCGGTACGATCACAAAATCCGCCTAACTGCGCTGTCGCTTGTCGCAAAGAAGGAGAGGTATTGTATGCACAGTTGCACTTATCACAGTCGAAAATCTCTCTGTTGCCACGAGGCGATTCTCAAAGGAAATCTAATATAAACGCACGCACGAATGAATGCCTCTGCACGGCTCGCGAGCTATCGGCTAATTGCCGGCCCTTCGTCACGCGGCGTGCGGCGTGCGGTTCGTCATACAAGTCGCTAGCCTACACGCGCACGTGGTCTCTCTCTGCCGACGCTCTCTCTTACCTTCTCCGCAGTCGCCGTCTGCTGCTGCTAAGGAGAAATATAGTTCAAATAATATAACCTATATACGAGGTGTGATCAAAAAGTAAGGTGAATTTTGAAATTTAGCGGGCTACGTCCGTTCGATCTTCGACTTTTTTATTTGGTTATGTCGGTACACTCGTCTAGAACATACGTTCCAAATTTCAGCTTTGTAGTATGTTTGGTTTGTTTGTGAGAGGCATCAAGGTTAGAAGTGTTTTGCGTGCTCCACGATTTGCTGCTGTCTAAAAACATGGATCAAAGAGTTTTCATTAAATTTTGTGTGAAAAATGGAATCAAATGTTCCAAAACACGTGAAATGCTGAAAGTGGCATACGGTGAGTCTACTTTAAGCCAAAAAAATGTTTACAAGTGGTATAAACTCTTCCAAGAAGGCCGAGAAGACACCGACGACGAACCTCGTTATGGACGCCCCAGCACATCAACAACTGATGAGAATGTTGAAGAAGTGAAGAAAATAGTGTTGGGAAATCGTCGAATTACCATTAGAGAAATTGCTGATGATATTAGCATCTCATTTGGTTCGTGCCAATCAATTTTGACGAGTGTTTTAGACATGAGACGTGTGTCAGCGAAGTTTGTTCCGAAATTGCTCAATTTCGACCAAAAGAAACGTCGCATGAGCATCGCCCAAGAGCTACTGAATGACGTCAACGATGATCCAGATTTACTCAACAGGGTTATAACAGGTGACGAAACATGGGTATACGGTTATGACGTCGAGACTAAGACTCAATCGTTGCTTGTGCGCGAATTTTTGGCTAAAACCAACACAGTAACGATGCCACAGGCACCGTATTCCCCAGATCTGGCCCCCTGTGACTTCTTCTTGTTCCCAAAACTGAAGAGGCCCATGAAAGGACGGCGTTTTGCCACGATTGAGGAGATAAAGACGGCATCGAAGGATGAACTAAACAAGATCACAAAAAATGATTTTTTGAAATGCTTTGAGGATTGGAAAAAGCGTTGGCACAAGTGCATTATATCCGAGGGGGATTACTTTGAAGGAGATAAAATAAAAATTGATGAATAAATAAATATTTTTTGAGAAAAATAAAAATTCACCTTACTTTTTGATCACACCTCGTATATGATATTCTTAACATTATGGTCATATAGAGAGAGAGAGACATAACGAGTTGATGTCAAACTCGTTATAATTCTCATAGTAAAATATTTTCTGAATACAAAATATCGTAGCTTTTATTCAAAAAACCTTAAAAACAAAGAAAAAAAAGAGTATTTTCACAAGTTTCTCGTTATTTTAAGATGCCGTTTAAATATCACATATGTATAGAATAAATGAAAAGTTTTTAAAAATAGATGGATCAAAACCACATCTGCAAATATTAATGGAATTCGCAATCACGAAATGTAGAAAATGCCCTAAACAAAGTCTGTTCTCCATAGATATAAAATCATTCAAAACAATTTCTTTCTAATAAGTAATTCTTTTTTTGATGTACTATTTAGTATTGCTGAATTTACTCTTGTATTAGATTCCAAAAACCCTGAATCTAGCTCTAGAATAGATAGATGAGATTCTGATATTTTACAGATGCTTCATATTAAATATAAACCATTGTCTGAAAAAATAAACGTATTAGCCGCTTTAAACCTAAACATTCAAGGTGCTTGTGATCATATCATTAATGACACACTATTGCAAAATCTTATCTCTATTGGCTACTCACTATCTTTAATTAAATTTTTAAGCTTTATAACATAAAATAAAAAAATCTACACTGAATATTTACAAGATAGTTATAGAAATGCTTACGAAGGCATTCCTCAAGGAGGATCTTACCCGCTTTTCTATATAATTTATTGTTCGGAAATAACAAATTATCTACGAAAAACTATGACAATTTCACAATTAGTTTGTGACAGGGTGAACAGCGATAATCGCTGGCCCTGTGTGCGATACTCTCCTCGTATGGACGCAGCAACCAAGCGTGGCTGTGGTAACATGGTATTCACGCTTGATTTATTGCAGGGCTTGGAAGATGTGAGCGCGACTGGAGGAAGGGGGCTCGAAATGAGGGCGAGAGCGAGAAAAGCGAAGAGAGAGAAGGAGAGCAGCTAATTAGCGGAGAGGGGGGGTAAATCGGCTGATTCTTAAGCGACAGAATTCACGGGAATCGAGAGAGAAAGTTAGAGAGAAAGCCGAGAGAAAGCCACAGGAAAATACAGCTAAACCCAGCAAGAGAGTTCGACAGGAGGTAGAGAGAGAGACCGAGGAGTTCTTGGGTATTTGAGCCGTCGAGGATACCCTTTGGAGGGGTTGTGCCCTGAAGTACCATGCCATGAGTTCGGCACACGGCTATCACTGCTGAGGCAAAAACTGCCAGGAAGTCCTAACAAAGTACCCCTCTTTACCATCGTCGAAGCTGGACAGCGGTGCAGGCGTCCTTATCTCTCGAGCGCCTTTGCTAGTTGGGCTGCGTTTTCGTCGCCTCCGGATTGTCACCTGCGAGCGGAGTACGACGGAACCTAGTGGATCGCTCTCTAGATCATCCAATTTTCTTTCTCTCTCTGCACCAGCTCTCGCTCGGGACTTCACGGACGTAATTATATGCTTTTACGTCGAAGACACTGTGCAATTTCGCTCGTGTTCTCTTCGCAGAATTTGCACTCGATTATCACGTTTTCACAAGTGAGGGAATACGCTCACTCTTTGTACTTCTAATTTTAATTCCGATTTTGTTCAGTTGTTAATCGCGTGTTGGTGTGTGAGCGAGTCCGCTTATTCACCCTATACTTATTTATTTAGTTTGTAATCGATTTTGTTGGGCTTAATAAAGGGATCGCCGTTTATACATATATATATATATATGAAATTAATGCATGATGCGTCTTAATTGCCTGGCTTCAATTTTTCAGCCATTCGCGGTAAATTTGTGTTTGTGGAAGTTAGTGCCGGCTTCCTTCACCGAAGTAGGACCGAAAATCGCGGGGCATAGCTGTGGCGCACCTTAACTAATGAGATTTCCCCTTGCCAGTTTATTATTTAGCCGCACATTTCAAGTGTGTAAACATTGTAAAAAAATCGTAGTAAAAGCTATAGGAATAATACTTTGATATTGAATTAATAATGATTAATAAATTAAACTTTATTCCTATTAAAAAAATATTGACATTTTGTGTGGAGACACAAAGCTATACTCAAAATTAAATAATTTAATATATCTTGGTCTTCAACTCAGTGATGTTCAAATAATATTAATATATTTTGTTAATAGAAACATTCGATCAGGCTGTATAGAAATTTAAAAAAATGACCTAATAATGAAATCCAGCAACAGTGTTAAGTTTTCATCTTGATTATAATTTATCATCCCTTAAACAGATTAATATTATAGGAATCAAACATAATACAGCAATGAATATAATCAAATTTTTGTTTGTAATGTGACAAGACTTTTTCCTAGAAACTTTAGTTGTACTGTAGAGAGTCACAAGTTGGGATATGATCAACGTCATACCTCAGCGTGTTTGGCCTGCTGGGCATGAAGTGCTATGTTCTCCAGGTCCGTACTCGCGGCTACATCGTAACAGTCGATATAAGGAAGCAAACAGGAAGTTGAATGTATGTAGTAATTTATTAATCGAAGTAAAAAATGATATTCACAGTATTTGCAGATATGCATGATCTCTCAGAGCTATGGGGACGCGAGCATGAAATGAGCAATTATTGTGCACGTGGTTGGACAATCTAACTATTGACTGAGTTAGACTGACGCTACAAGGAGCAGACAAGAGAGATACTTCTTGTTATGCTTCTGGTGTCAGAGTGAGAGTGTG